AATGGAACAACGTTATTTAAAATACCCGATCCCCTATGTCTAATTTTTAATTCTTCTAAAACAATGTTCATTAAAAAAATTGAAATGTAATTTACTTTCACGGTTGGAGATACAGATAAGAAATAACATAAGGCAAAGTCTCTTAGGCAATCCTAATTAAACCAGTCAAATAAAAGCACTGTTAACATTTTGGTCTTTTTCTTCCAATGCTTTTTCTAAAATACGTGTTTCACTCTAAGCCTACCCAAAGATAAGAGAAACACAAGTCTAACTACTGCTTAATTAATTACAAGTGCCATGGTGCTGGAGCGCAAATTCAGGGCCTCCTGAATTGTAGGCAAGGCCTCTACCACTGGGCTCCGGACTTAATGTGTTATAACCTGTTTTTTTATTCAACCAAATGTTGTAAACAATATCTGCATCATTTCATTAAGAAATTGAGACAGGGTCTCACTGTGCCTCTCTGGCTGGCCTTGAACCCACAGAGATCTGATCAAGTCTTTCTCCTAAGTGCTGAGTCAGCAGTGCACCACCAAGCCAGGTTTCTTCCTATTATTTTAATTGCTGCACAGTAAGGTATGATGTGGTAACTTACTCACTTAATACCTTTTTATTAGATATTTGGTTTGGTTTTTGTTTTGTTTTGTTTTTTTGCTCTGTATTATGCAAAATCTTTAATGAGTACCCATGATTATTTCCTTAGGATGAAAATTTCTGACTTTTGTAAGTTCCACAATTTAAGTAAAGAGAAATGAGTAGTGTCCTATTGAATCTCACTGTTCTTACTTGTGGTTTAGGCGATGGTTCTCAGCCTTGATGATGCACCAGGTACAGATCAGGACTTCCAGAGCCTCATGATGCAGCTCAGTCTTTCTGCCTCAGCTTCTCAAGAGCTGGCATTAGCCCAGGCATGCCTGACCACACTGGGAACCTGCACTAGTTCATACAACAGCAGCACTGATGGTGAACATACTGGTCTACTTTATCCTCCTTCAGTTGCAGAGTTTGGTGCCTTCAGACAGTCTTAGTGTCTGTGATATGAAGAATCAAAATTTTTGTATTTATTTGTATTTATTCTTGTACTTATATCTTGTCAATTGGGAAGAAAAAGCTGCAAATCGATGTTTCCTTACTATTGTATGTCTAGAAAGCCTGAAGCAAGAGTTAACCCAGTCTGCTGGTTCTCATTTAGGAGCTGCGATGCTCCTGGAAGCTGCTGCCTGCGCACATGCCACAGTGTAGTCTGTTTACAGGCACTGAGCCATGCAGCGACAGCGCAGTCAGAGGATGGCACTGGATTCCCGTGGACACGGGCAGTTTTGAGTCACCATGTGGGTGCCGGGAGCCCACCCATGCCTTCTGCGAGAGTGTAAGTGCTCTGAACTGCTGAGCCACTTCTATACCTCCAGGGATTTAGTATTTAGTCAAAATATTTAAGTGGTTCTCAACCTTCCTAACTCTGTGACCTTGTCACATAGTTTCCCATGTTGTGGTAACCCCAACCATAAAGTATTTTCATTACTACTTCATAACTTTAATTTTGCTACTGTTATGAATCAGAATGTAAATATCTTGTTTCCCAATGGTTTTAGGTGACCCCTGTGAAAGGCTCATTCAATCCCCAGCTGAAAACCACTGCCTTAGACTAAGTTTAGGAAACACAGGCTGCAGCATGAGTGGCCAATCCACTTTTTGTGAGAGCCATTTACATCTGGTTCTAATCATCTAGAGCAACCCAAATTAAAACTTTTGTGCTTGCATTTTATTTTTGGTCTTTTGTGCTTTGGTCAAGCTTTCCCCCACAGTAGGTCAACCTTGGCTAATAAGTCTTTCTCTTGTAGAAAAAATTCATAGATAATTGGGTCCGAGATCCTGGCCAGACTACAAACTTGGGAGTGATTGCCTGTTCCTATGTGACATGTCAAAGTTTTAATCAGTTTGTATGAGTAGAATATGTATCTTCTGTAAGTTAAAACACAAAATTCAAAACAAAATTTACTGGCTTATGTGTATAATGACAAATACATAGTTCAAAAAATTACTTGAGAAAGTAGAAAATAAACTATAGTCCTATAGGAATTATTTTTCAAAGGGCAGGTCTGGTAACTCAGCCAGTAATCTTAGTCCTGAGGCAGGAGGACTGCCACAATTGGAGGCCATCCTGGAATACACTTACATGGCAAAGTACCTCAACACTGCCCACTACCTCAGTAATTAATTTTCAAATAGAACACGTGTTCTATCAGGGTGCTATATGACCATCCCTGCACATATGTTAGATCAATGTTTATTTTACTAACTCCATACTGATAACATTTGGGTTGCTTCTAATCCTTAACTACAAAACCTGAGTTTTTGCCCACTATGACATCATCCAGGCCCTGTTTTTAAGGTTATTTTTTATACATACTTTTAAGTGACCCCCAAGAAAGGCTGTTTATCAAAGTGTTTATTTTACCACTACTCCAATACTAGATATATAGTGCTTTTAAAATACAGAAAGAAGAGAACAAAGAGGAGGAAAAGTAGTTTTACAGAAGCTTTACAAATGATGAAAATCGGAGTTATACTACTATCCTTTCTCGAGACAGGGTCTCTCTATGAAGCCTTGTTAGTTATGGATACAAACATGGTTTTGTTTTAATCCCAGGTGTGAGATGTGGGTCTGATTCAGATAGTCCATAGCAGCAAACTATTTGCCTCATGTGGGCTTTGAAAGGAACTCTTTACCAGCTGCAGATAGTTTAAATCTGAGGACTCTGGAGAGAAAATAAATGCCAGAGCCCAGGGAGTGTGGGGAAGGGAGAAAGAACAAGGCTGCTCCTAGTTGCTGTTGTGAGACAAGAAGGTGGAGATCTCCTGAAACGAGGACTGGACTGGCTGCAAGGAACCTGATGACCCTGACCGTCAGGAAGCAGCTAAGAAAGAACTGTGCCCCCTCTCCTACTAACTCTTTCTCTCTCCTACGTGGTGTCAGGGTGTTGGAAGTGATTGGGGTGAAGTAGTGAGAAATAAATGTAAGAAATGTAAATAAAAGAGGTTTTAAAAAGTATGCCAACGCTTGTTCTGGAACTCTCTATGTAAACCAGGTTGACTTCAAACACACTGAGATCCACCTGCCTCTGCCTCCTGAGTTAAGGTGTGTGCTACCATACCTGGGTTATCCTAATTTTTAAAATCAGGACCTGAAAGTCATGTAAGTACGGTGACCTGCTTAAGAGTTAAGTAGGTTATTCCCACTATGATCTATTGTAAGCTGGGTTTTGATGAAACACTGAGAAGGTACTAATAAATTTATTTATTCATTTAGGTTTTTCAAGACAGGATTTCTCTGTATAACCTTGGTTGTCCTGGACTCTCTTTGTAGAACAGGTTCGCCTTGAACTCATAGAGATCTTGATTTTACAATTCAGAAGAATTTAAATTTAAGAACAACCTCTGGGCTGTGAAGATGGTTCAGGGAATAGTGTTTCTTTGCAAATATGAGGACAAACCTCCAGATCCCCAGAAGCCCAGCAAAGCCACAAACAGGTATCCATGACCCTACTGTGGTGGGCAAAAGGAGAATGGACCCAAAGGCTAATATATTCAAATACCAGGTCCCCAGTTGTTAGAACTGCTCAGGAAGGATTAGGAGGTGTGGCTTTGTTGGAGGTAGGCTTTGAGATTTCCAAAGTCCATCCCATTCCTAGTTAACTCTGTCTCCGACTTGCAGATAAGGATATAAGCAAGCTCTCAACTACTGCTTCGGCACTATGCACACTGCCATGCATCTCGCCATGATGGTCATGGACTCTAATCTTCTGAAATGAATCTCAATTTTATTGGTAATGGGAACTACCCACTCACAGCACTAAAAAAGTAACTAAGACACTAGTGCTCCTAACACAAGATAGAAGTGGAGACAGGACACTGCTCAGAAGCTCATGGACGAGCAAGGCTGGAACATGCGGCATCCACCAACAAGCAAGGTGGAGGGCAAGGACTGGATGACAACAGAGGTTGTCCTTTGATTTCTCCATGTTCACCCTGACATTCATTCCTCCTGGCATTCACATACACAAGTATGTACATACACATACACAAATGTGCACACACATAAATCTGCATTGCTAACATATGTGCATGCACACGCACACCCTCGGAGGAACCATTTCTTCTCCTAGTTTCAGGCTACTAACAAAATAAACAACGTGTTTAATGTGCCTTACTTTAAAATCAAACTTAGTGGTTAAGTTTCTGCCTTTCCAGAGGATGCATTTGGTTCCTAGCACCCATGTCAAACCACCTGTGACTGCAGCTCCATGTGACCTCGTGCTCTCTTCTGGACTCCTTGGCCAGCTACATATGCAGACATGCACACAAACACACACATACATAATACAAATATTAAAAAAACAAAAAAAGCAAAGCATGGAGGTTGAGACAGGAGGATGTCTTTAAGTTCAAAACCAGCATGGTTTACGCAGCATACAGCCAGGTTTGTATAGTAAGAGCCTGTCTCCACCAAACTATAACCTTAGCATTCAAGAGGTGGAGGCACGCCGACCTGAAGTTCAAGCCCATCTTTGGCTACATAGGGAGTTTGAGGTCAACTTGGCTTTTATGAGACCATGTTTAAAAACAACCACAGCAAAAAAAAAAAACAAACAAAAAAAAAAAAAAAAACAATAAGTGAATAAATAAAGTTCACAGAAACCTGGCTATAAAAATTAAACTCTATTACAGGGCACTTCAAATTTAACAGACTATGGAGAGGTCCCCCTCATCATCTTTTTGCAGGGAGGTGAGTGCTATTCTAGGGACTAGACCCAAAACCTCACTTTTGACAAGCAAAACACTCTAGCACTGAATTACTCCACTAGCTCTGATCATCCTGTTTGGGGAATGTGAATTAAATTCAAGTACAACAATAACAACATCAGTTTAAATAAAAATGTTATTTTATCTTTCCTTGTTCGACAAAATTCTAAAACAAATAAATGTTGTCTAAAGCCTACCTGAGCCATCAGTAGGAACTGAACTTGCATTGATTCCAGAAAGACCAAACAAGGGGCATTCTCGATCTGTGTTCACATGACCCCACTTGTGACATTTAATACACCTTACATTTCGAACCTGAGAAATAAACATTATTTTAATTCTCAAATACCAAGAGTCTGACATTCAACTTAGGTGCCCCACTCTACTTTTTTTCTTTTTCTCTTTGGAGACAGGGCTTCACTATGTAGCCTTGGCTGGTCTGGAATTTACTTTGTAGATCAGGCTGGCCTGAATTCAGACATATACCTGCTTCTGCTGGGATTAAAACATGCACCACCACACTTGGCTACTTTTTAAAAAAGATCCCAGGAAAAGAGATTCTACATCTATGTTGGGAAATCCAATGTACATACTAAAACCTTTCACTATAAATTTTGCCTAAAATTTAAGCTGAATCCTCTCTGTGCCTTTTACAGTAAAACAATGTCATCTAAAAGGAATAATGGTAAATATCACATGGTAAAATGTAAAATATCACAAAGAATTATGTCATGGTTTAATTTTAGGTTCCCAATTTTAATACATTAACCTAAGTATCTCCCTACCTTTTCTTTTCTTTTCTTTTTTTTAAACATAGGGTCTCCCTGTGTAGCTCAGGCTGAGCTTTCAATCTTCTTGCCTAGCCATTACCTTTCCCATGCTGGAAAAAACAGACCTGTGCCACCACACCCAGCTACATTTCTTTTCTTTAAAATTTTTTTTTTGTCCTGGTCCAAACTGAAGCCAGGTCCTCCTAACACAGTGTGAAAGTGCTTTTTCACTGAGCTATTACCTTTAGCCTTGAAGTTTCACATTTCTAGGCCAGGGGTTAGCAAACTTAGTCAATAAAGCAAAAATGGCATTTCAAGTTTTTTTTGTTTGCATCTGTTTGCAACTGCTCAGCTCTGCTGCTGTGACAGCAGATGTGACAGGCACAGATGGCTAAGTGAGGTTTCCCACAGGGTCAGCCCTGGAGTGACACCTGACTGCTTCTAAATCAGTAACTCTTTTAACATCTTTTCTTGACCTCATTAGTTTTCTACGTTATTTGAAAACTGTACTGACCTCATCATTATCCCTTCACTAGAGAACTTGATTCTCATCTTCTATTTGCCTAACACATTTCATGTTTTTGCCTCATTCCTATCATCTGACATAAATATAAACCACAAATTTCTTTTTTAGCTTAAACACTGTGATGCTAGTCTGGCAACCTGACTACATCTGGAATCAACTAAAATCTAAGTGGCTGGACACTCCTGTGAGTGATTTCTTGATCAGATTATTAAACCCGGGCCACACCTCCTGGTGACAGCCTACATTAAAAAAAAAAAAAAAAAAAAAAAAGAATTCAAAGAAGGAAGCTTTGCTTTTCGCCTGTTTGCTCTCTCTCACTGGCAAGTTCAAGTTCCTCTATCCTGTTGCTGCTGGTATTAAATCCAGCTTCTTCAAGATTCCAACACAGACTAAAGAAAGACCAGCAACTGTGTAAGAATCCTCCAGGAGTCCAGACTAGTCCTGCAGAGACACTCAGCCTCACAGCCCGCACAGCTACCACCTCCCCAGCCCTCCCATCCCGAGACAGCCACCGTTGGACCACCCAGACCACACACTCTAAGCTAGCACAGTGAATCCCCTTCCAGTATATATAGTTATCCTATCAGTTCTGTTCCTTTGGAGCACTCTAATATAAACATCTTTTTTAAAATAATGTAAAGATATGTACTAAATAAAAATTATTCTCAAAGAATAAATATGTCACTTGCCTGAATACCAAAGGGCTGATCTCTGATGTTCATATCATCTTTGGCATATCTGTTAAGTACAAAAAAAAAAAGGCTGACTATATATTAAGAACAATTTAAGAAAGTCAATGGCAGTTAACCTGAAAAAAGTTCACAGTTCTTAGAACATTATAAAATGCATTATTACTATAAAATATATAATTACCATCAATTTTTGAGTGTCTATATAGTCTGATAACACAATTTTTAAGAAGCAAGCAGGTACACAGATCAAGGCTAGAATGGAGCACCCTGGTTGTGTGGTAGCTCCTTAAATACCCTTTCAGTGCGCTGCCTGCCCTGGTGAGTAAACCGTAACAAGTCAGCGGCAAGAAGGGCTGTAGACAACGACACGACACAAAGCAGCCTTACTTTTCTCTCGGAGCGCCTTTCTGCCATTCAAACTTGTATTCTGTCTCTCCTTCTGCTTCTTCTTTCTACAACAGTCAGCAAAAATTTGTTCAGTTTTCCCTAAAATCACAATCAACTATAAACCAAAATTCAAACAGAGAAGAGTACTTTACCTCTTTGTTTTCTTGATTGCATATTCAAAGCACAGAGGGAAGCAGAACACGTTAGAAATGTCAGGAGGAAAGTCTACTACTCATTATGCTGTATTATTTAATTGTAACTTGTAAGAATTTACTGGTTTTTCTTTTTGCTCAAGATAAAACACCAGATCACTGAAGGATAAAATACAACACTGAAGGCTAAAATACAACATTGAACCAGAGTTCAGAATAGGTATGTTAATTCCTAATTTTTAAGCTTTTATTTGTATAATAAGAAGGACTACAGGTATGCGCACATTATAGGAGGATAAATGTACCTCTGCCAAGACTGAGCATTTCTCCCTCGAGGACATAAGCTACTCCAGTAGAAACTATCTTGTGTTTATTTTACTGTGCTAATGATAGCTATCGTCACAGACGAGCAATGGAAAAAGACAGTAAGCTTTTAAAATACTGACTCCTCAATCCTTACATGTAATCACATCAAAGCATTCAGGACATGAGAAAAGTACCTTTTTTAACTCCTGGTGGGGCCTCATACATGAAATTCAGGCCATTCTTTACACGCTCATCTCCCATAAGCAATCTAGACAAAATAATGGTAAAAGGATATTAACAGCATACCATTTCTCAAAGATAACCCTAAAGGAATTAAGATTTTTTGTTACAGATAAAAATCGAGAAAGTGCTATCTTATTAGAAACTGCTATAAATTTGAGGCTTTATTTTTGCCTCTAGCTCTCCCAATAAAAAAAGAAAAGAGGACATGGTTACTCTTCTAAGATTCTCTTAAAAATTATGAAATGCTGCTGAAATAGTTTTGAAATCCTACATGCTGTCATATATTTTGGTGTCACAACTTTTTAAGAAAAATTTTTATTTTGTTTTCTTTCTTGCTTTTTTGAGATAGAGTTTCTCTGTGTAGCCCTGGCTTTGTAGACCAGTCTGGCTCAAACCCAGAGATCTGCCTGTCTCTGCTGTGATTAAAGGCATGAGCCACCGTGACCAGCTATTTTAGTATTTTTAAGAGTGAGAGTTCGTGTGTGTGTGTGTGTGTGTGTGTGTGTGTGTGTGTGTGTGTGTGTG